CTTGGGCCACTTCCAGGCCCCAGACATGGATCTTCCATGCTCTTGGTGCTGTCTGCCCTGGAGGCCTGTGCCCTGGACCAGCCTCGCAGCCATCTATGAGCACAATGTGGTAATTTTCATGACGAACAGAAGTAGAGTGTAGAGTATAGAACAGAACAGAATAGAATAGAACAGAACAGAACAGAACTGCCCTCACCAGGGGAGAATGGGTTTGGAAGCCCGGAGAGGGATATACAAATGGAGTGTGTAAGTGCTCCTTCCACAGAGCCCATCATAGATCAGCATTACTTCTGACATGTTGTCTTAGTCTTTTGTTCACTTTATATTTACAGCATTACAAATTAGAAACAAGATCCAATTCCTGGAAATGTTTCTTTGACTTCTACTATAAATAAATGTCCTGATTTTTGGCAGAAATATAACGTACCTTCCCAGATTACTCAATAGAAGTTTTTCTTTCCAAAGTAAATTTACTCATCTTTACTCCTCCTCTATCTGGTTTATATTCCCCTACCCCAATGCAGGAGCTGCGAGGCACCAGCCATGCTCCCTTCCCAGCCTGTCCTGCGTGCTGCGGTGTTTGCACTCACAGCCCTTCAGGCCCTGGGCTCCGACACCTTCATTGCAGCCGTCTACGAGCATGCCGTCATCCTGCCAGATGCCACGGATGAGCCCGTTTCTCCTGACGATGCTTTGGCCCTGATGAACAAAAACATGGATGTCTTGGAAGGGGCCATCAAGGAAGCTGCCCAGCAGGTACGAGGGGTATCGGGAGTGTTGTTAATTAGTGCTTTCTTCTCCTGCTCACCCTCCTGGTTATCTGTTGGTGGGTGAATTCTTAACGGAGCCTGTTGTGTCAGGGCGCCCGCATCATTGTGACTCCTGAAGACGGCATTTACGGCTGGCGTTTCACAAGAGAAGCCATCTACCCCTACCTGGAGGATATCCCTGACCCGGCAGTGAACTGGATTCCCTGCACTGACCCCACAAGGTGATTTCTTCTGCCATGATTTCTGTGGTTTCAGGCTAGTGTCTCATGGAGTTGTGAGCTGCTGTCAGTAATGTCTAAGAACTGCTAATTTTTAAATCTATTAAACCCCCAAGTACCATAGAAATTAGATGCATCAAAAAGAACTGTTCATTAAGTGGTAATGGGAACATGCAAGGTAAAAACCACTGAGATAGTCTCACTTTTAAAAATTACAAAAGGAGGAAAATGAGGAAAGGCAAAATCGTTATTTCTAAAACATGTAAATATTTATCACTGCAGATCAACTGTGAAAACCTTCTGTAAGTATAAGCTCATTTATTATCATGTCGGATGGATAGATCTGCCAAGGTAGTTCAGCTCTCAGCTCATGTGGGTGGGTGATTGCTAAATGAAATTGCAGTAAATATTTCTTTAGATCTGAAAGAAGTGCCCTTTAGAAATCCAATGTCTGGCATGGTCTGCTCTGTTACACAAGGCTGCCCTGAGTGTGTGCCAGCAGGGGACAACAAGAGGTCCAGGTTTGTGCCTAAGATAAGCTTTTGTATTCTTCTGGTCTGAGGCTTTATGAAGCAAGATTTCAGGAGTCCTCAGCTTTGTAAATGCTGTGGCCCTTTTCTACTAAAGGCTTATGGGCAGCTGCCTTAAACAGAGTGACGGATCTTTATGAAGGCTAAATTTGTCTTTTTAAATCAAAATTTAGGTCTTCCTTAAAACTTATTTTTAAGTGATTTAGTCTCTCCTCTGTTTTTTGAAGCTGTCCATATCTTTGTATGTGTGTTAGCTGGGAATTATTTCCACTCAGAAAATAACATGTTAAGGGTACAGGAAAGAAGAACACAGGAAGACCATTTTTCAAAGCTAAAAGAGACTGGCAATTTAAAATGATGTCATGAACAGAGAAGAAAATGAACAGAAACTATGACTTGATCTATTATTTTTTTTGTACCTGGGGATGTGCAGTTAGTAAAATAGTAATTTTGAATACATTTCTTCCACATCTGAATGTAAACTTGTAAATTTTTTTTTTCTTTCACCAAAAACTCATTAGATTTGCTCCAGCACCAGTGCAGGAACGACTCAGCTGCATGGCCAGGAGTAACTCCATCTATGTGGTTGCAAACATCGGGGACAAGAAGCCCTGTAACTCCAGTGATCCCAGCTGCCCCAGCGACGGTCGCTACCAGTACAACACCGATGTTGTCTTTGACACAGAGGGGAAGCTGGTGGCTCGTTATCACAAGGTGAGGCAGTGCTTCAGCATCATCCTGTCATTGATTATCAGTGTTCTTTTCATCTCTCTGGCACCAATTTCAGCCAGTTTATACAATAATTTTACATGACATTAGAACAACAACCAATCCAGGATGATCCAAGTACCTTATGGCCAGAAGGAAAAGCGGGCAAGTGCTTGATTGACCAGGTGTTAGTCCCAGTAGCACCGCAGCTGCAGAATGTGTGCTGGATACCAAACACTTATATTTATGATGCTAGATGAAAAGTAGCAGTGACAGAGTTTCCATACTCAGTAAACGTTAGCTAGTCCTCGGCACAGTTTTAGCCAAGCCAGGTAACGCTTTCACAGGTGATGTCTTGGAAGAGTTTAGCAGATAATATTGGCTGGGCATTGCTTCCAGGAGGCAGCTGGGGAGCAGCCACCCCATTTGGCAGGAGAAGAAGCTCTGTTGGATGGATGCAAACCCACCGTGCTGGCCAACTCAGTAATCTCAACGCCCAGCTTTATCTTAAAGCCTGTCTCAGATGTAAAAGTTCCTGTTCATAACCTTGCCTTATTTTTAGTTATTAATATGACATTTTCTTCACCTGCAGTACAACCTATTTAGAAGAGAAACTCAGTTTAATTACCCTAAAGAGCCAGAAGTCGTCACCTTTGAGACCCCCTTTGGGAAGTTTGGCATTTTCACGTGCTTCGACATCCTTTTCCATGAGCCTGCTGTGGTCCTGGTGAGCAAGTTGCAGGTGGACACTGTGCTCTTCCCGACAGCTTGGATGAACGTCCTGCCATTTCTGACTGCGATTGAGTTTCACTCTGCCTGGGCTATGGGCATGCGTGTCAATTTGCTTTCAGCAAATACTCACAACATCAGCTGGGCAATGACAGGTCAGTTGCATTTGGGAAAAGGGAAATTGTCTTCAGAGTACTGGATTCAGAAGCAGGCAAAAATATTTTACAAATACTGAAGTCTCTGGAAAATATTGTTTCAATCAGACTAAAAATATTCTTGATGTTGTAAACAGCTTCAGGCAAGGAAATGTTAAGTCTTCTGGGAGAGGTAAAATTAGAAAGTCCATGACATTAAATTTCAGTATTTCAAAAGTGATAGTTTTCTTTAAAAAATAGCACAAAGTTTCACTTAAATTTTCAGACTCTTGTTTAAAAGCAGCATTTTTTGTTTAAAATTAAATTCTAAGTTAAATGGAGGAAAAATCCATTTTAAACAGAATTTAATAACCCAAAACCAAAAGGAGAATTCCTGTTGTATATTAAATAAAACATTTTCAAGTTTTTGTTGCTGCAGAAGAACACAAACCTGTTAAGTTTAGGTCATGCTTTTTACGCCATGATGGGTATTCTAGCAGTTCCTTATGTTAAAATTACTCCAAAATTCTGTGTAATATGTTGATGGAAAGTAGAATCACCCAAAAAACCCGACAGTGTGGCAAGAGGGGCGGCTGTCCCCCCTGCCAAGCTGTGCCCTGGGGGGTGAGCTAATGGAGGTCTGGTGAATGTCCTTGGCAGGCAGTGGGCTGTTCATGCCGGAGGGACCCGCTGCCTACCATTACGACAGCAGAACAGAGGAGGGACATCTCCTGATAGCAGAGCTGAGCGCACAGCCCCGTGTTTCCCCCACCTACCCCCCGGCTGTCAACTGGAGCTTGTATGCCACAAACATCAAGAAATTTTCAGGAGAAAATGACACTTTTCTGGGAACCATCCGGCGGGATATATTCACTTTCAGTGAACTCAGGCAAAAAGCTGGAAATTACACGGTTTGCCAAGGAGACCTGTGCTGTCATTTGACCTATCAGATGTCAAACAAGAGTAAAGATGAAGTTTATGTCCTGGGTGCTTTTGATGGGCTTCATGGATCTCTCATAAAATACCACTGGCAGGTAACTGGTTTTGCAGGGATGTCGGTGGTATATGTCTACATCCCAACCATCCCAAACCCCTTGTCCATTTCTGCATCGTGAGAACATTTCTTACAATCAAATCCAGCTCTTGATTGTTGAAATATTGGTGGTGTTTTGCTTTTCTGTGTCCTGCTCCCCGCAGATATGCACGCTGCTCAAGTGCAAGAGCACAGACCTGAAGACGTGCGGGCAGCCGGTGGAGACCGCACAGACCAAGTTTGAGATGTTCTCCCTCAGCGGCACCTTTGGCACCAACCACGTCTTTCCCGAAGTCCTGTACAGCGGGGTGGAGCTGGCTCCCGGGGAGTTCGAGGTACTGGGGTACCCTGGAGCTGTTTGACACAGGGTTTTCCAGGCAGTGGCGCTGGAAATTGGTATGGCAGCAAAACCCCATCCAAGAACCACTTTCTTTGGTTCTGCAGACTGTAACTCAAGAGGACATTGAAATGGATGTATTGAATTAATATGTACTGGTGAGGACGTGTAAATGCTAAAATCAAGAATCTCTTCAGTGTTTTCTTTACCAAATATGCCTTCTCACTTCAGGGTCCAAATCTGTAAATTGTACCTTTCAAGGAGCTATTTTCTACAGGTTTCTGCTCATGGGTATTTTAGGAAACAAAGGAATCTAATACTTTGGGAAATTGGCCAAGCAAGAAAAATTACTAATGAGTATAAAAGCAGACATCCTATGCAGTTAAAAATGTTATAAAAGGGATTTTTGATGTTTTTTGTAGAGTTTATTTTTTTTTTATTTGAAACTTTATCATATAAGTTTGCCAAAACCTTTTTACATTTATAAACCTTGGATTACGTTTATGTACGAGGCTAGATGAAACCTTAATTGATGGAAGATGTATTTAATAGCTTACAAAAGACAGTGAAGACAGTGAAAGAGACCTGAAAATTTTCAGAGGAAACAAGGGGAATTTATTTACAAGGTAGAGAATGGAAAAGCATTGCTCATCCTGCATATTTACTTTGAATGGGACTTCTGCAAAAACATATATCAAAGGATTTATTGGTATGCTAAAATATGATCATGGTCTAATTAAAAAATATATTTTATATTTTCTTAAGAAATACATGCTTATTATTTGTCACAGAGGATCTCAAAAAGTTGCAGGTGTTCATATTCCATGAACAACAGTGATTTCAAATTGATCTGTAAAAAGTAACTAAGAAAAGCAATGTATGGCCAGTAGCTTGAAATTCACTACTTCTGCCTGGAAATGGTTTTGGGGTCTACAAAACAAAAAAGATTTCAAATTATATTCCTAGCTATGTATATAACCTTAATCACTATGTATGAGTAACTAATCAGAACTTAACAAATCAGTTGTTCCCACTCTCACCTTATTATGAGGTGGAGAAAATGATCTTTTTTTTTTTTTTTTCTTTTCCACAACGATTGAGATGGAGGAAGTTTTAGAGACCTTAAGGTCCAAGGAAATACGGAAAGGCAAAGCCAGTGAGGTTTCTGGTTTCTTTCATTCTTATGATTGTCTTTTAAAAGTGCTGCATCAAAATATTCAACATCTAAGGCCTATCCTTTCTGTACCATGTGATATTGCTACTCTGTTAGTGAACTATTAGTATAATCCTTCCTCTTTTCATCTAGGTGTTACGTGACGGACGTTTGAAAAGTAAGCATGGCACATCAAAACCGCTCATAACAGCAACACTTTTTGGAAGGCCTTATGAGAAGGACCTGCCGCATCCGCTGCGAACCTCCCCACAACATAACTCCTTAGCCCTTACACTGTCACCATAGACAGCCGGGGAGTTTTCTACAGTGACCCACTTCCTCATGAGCCGTGGTAGCTATCCTGTATCATTCCTGATCTGCAGTCTTGCTCAGCAGCCGTGGCAGTTGAGTTTATTTGGAAGAAAGCAATGTGATCCCTCTGTTGTGTACCTGTGTCAGTGGTATATTTTTTCAATAGTGCTTCAGCCAGTGCAACTATTTTTTAATATGAATGCTCTGTCACTTGAAATCTTTAATTAGAAATTATTGTTTTCCCAAAGATTGCCAGGATAACACCAGAAAAAAGACTGATACTGAAACATGTGAAATATGAAGTTTGCCGATTTGCTGCAGAACAAATCTTCACCAAGGAAGCCTTTCTGCCCCTTTTGCCCCTTCCTGTTTTTCAGACTGTATAAGCACTAAGTGTCCATGTTTCTCAGCCTTACACACCAACCAATGGGGCACACCTCCCTAATGCTCGGTGGGCCTTGGCCCCATTCTGACCAAGGGTCTGTATAATGAAGAGAAAAATGGGTTTGAAATGGGTTTAGGTGCAGCCTTCAAGAGAGAAAGAGGTCCTCCACAGGTACTGAGCCTGGCTGAGCACCTTCAGTTCTGCAGGCCCTCTGAGCTTGCACTGATGTCTGCATAGTGTACCCGTACTGGATCCAGTGCACTTCAGATCAGACCTGCCGTATAAACACATATACCAAGACACACTCCTGGGTATTTGGAAAATTTCTTTTAAACTGTGAAAACATAGGAAATAGCCAACGTTTTAGTATCTGAAACACATGTGACCATGTAGTGTGAGAAATGGGCATTAGAAAGGACTTCTGGCAATGATGTGTGTAACCTGGACCTGGTGTGTGTCTACCACTCTGCAGCAAGCGGGCCTCATTCGCACCACGTCTGCCTTGGGGTAGTCCCTGTCTCAATGTTTATCCATTGGTCTTTTGCATCCGTTGCCCTTCACAACACTGTCATACAGCCTGCACCGTGCTTGCCACCGAGCTGCCCTAGACATGGCACATAAGAAACGCTCTGTGGTTTCCCACTCCGTGCATGCCAACGTATGTTATCCAGAAATCACATGATTTCTGTTTTCTCGTGTGCTGTTGTTTCTCAGCACACAACTTCGAAGGCTCCTTCTAGGACTTGTTTCCTCCTGGAAATAAAACAGCTGAGCTTGTACTCAGGGGAGGGACTGTACTGCTTGGGCACAATTATTCAAGACAGGCAGGACCTCAAGGTCATGCTGTTGGTGGCTTGTCCAGCACCTCACCCTTTTCTCACTCAGCTTGTGGTGAGAAGACTACACAGACTAGACTTTCATTAAACAGAGGAGGATCAAGAGAGATTGCGACTGACCACAGCAGTACTAGTCCCACGTGACTGTTGGCCATGTAGTGTGTATGGGCCCTAGAATTCCAAGACGCAGAGGGTCACGGTGAAGGAGGGGAGGTGACCCCACTCACCGAGCGAGTCTGGTACATTACAGGAGACCCTTGTCTCGCACACGAGGAGAGTTTCCTGCTGATACTTGTACAAAAATTGATCAAAAATGTACAAACTTTTGCAATCTTCCCATCCCCTATTTGGTTAGTAGTTGTCTTCTCCTGTTGTCCCAAAGACGTTTTTACACTGAGTTGGTCATAATAACTAACATAATCAGATTGTGAAAACACATTATAATTCATTCATGGAAATGTATTGTTTGAAAGAAGAATTATGCTTGCCTAGGTAGAAATCAAACATATCTGACACAGAGCTATAAAAGGGAAGAGCAAGCTGTTAAAACATGGCCGTTAATGGGCAGTGATGTACTTCCTGGCAGCTAGACTGAAAGACAGAAAGCTTTGGCAGGTGTGTGGTGCCTTTTATAACAGATGCCATTTAGCTATACATCAGGAGCAGCAGATGACTGTATGTATAAGGACCAGAGCTATTAAAAAACTACTTAAGTTTAACCAATCATCCTTACTTAGCAACAGGCTTAAACATTCATTTTGCTGAAGACTTTCTGAGCCTATCTTCAACATTACACTAGGCATTTTAGATTGTTTATTCATGTTAACATCAGCCTCTGTTTGCAGGGATTCTTCCAAATTCAGCATTAGACTAAACAAAATGCGGGCACAAAATCTCTCGCATTTGAGGATTGTGCAGCACTTAATGTAACCACTCCTGTATTTTGCCAAGGGAGTCTTAACGATGCCAGTTGTATTCTGCTTAGTCTTTTCTTGCAGAGCATTGCTCTTCTACCTCTAAGGATGCAAACCGTACCCCTCCTTGATTTGCCAAGGCTCATCGTTAGATAATATCTTGATGTCTTACAAACAATTTCAATCGCAGCACTTCCATGAAGCTAGGAGTAATTTTTATCCTATAATGTAGACAAGGAGATGAAGTGCAAAGAATCTGATGTTTACAGTAGACACTCACTTAGGCAGCTAATGTGAGATGCCAGAATAATTGACATTACAAAAATACTGTATATAGTCAAAACATGATTGTCACTGGCTTCAGCTGCAAGTGCTGACTACCTGTAAAAATCAAGCCCTGGCATGCACCCAGAAAGTGTATAGTCAATAAACACATCTTAAATCCCTATTACAAAGGATATAAACATCAGAACATTATAAATAAAAGACAGGCAGAATTTTTTTCATTAGGAGGAAACAATATCTTTTTCATCGGTCATGTCCCATATAGTTGAAGTATTGTGTTTGGTTTGTTTTTTTTTTAATATCCAGTCTTGGATAGACAAATCAAATTTTTAAAGATAACTGAAATTGCTGAAGTTTGGCAACATTACATATAATTGAAAGGAAGGTGAGAAACATTGGGCTGTCTTAACACAGTTCAGTGCTGTTAGCTTCATCTGCACTTTGACCATAATAAACATTTAACTTTGTGTGCTTCTTTCCATGAGCCTGGTTTTACCTTAATCCAAGTGCAGTCATCTCTGCATATGCTAGTGGCTTGTGTCACAACAGATTTATTATCTGCTTATCTTTTCTGAATATTTAATATTTACGTCATCCTGTTGATGAGATTTTTCCAGCAGGCTGTAAAGCAGAGTCAGACCGAGCGTGCAGCCGCTCAGCTGTGGGATTCGTGTGGGATGAGTCACTATCGTGCTCTATCTGCAGGCAGCACCGGTTCGTGATGAGGAAATAGCTCCCGAGCAGGTACTGTCTCCATGTCATGCCGTCTGAAATACGGTGAGCTTCTAATATGCTAGTCTGGGGCATTATTTTGTTTCAAAGATGTATCTTCTACAGTTAGCGCTGAAGATAACAGTCGTTATTCTGCACAGATCGTTGCGTTCTTTCTGCAATAGCACCGACAGCAATGAGGTTTTGGTGGTGGCTGAGAGGATTGTTTAAAAAGCCATTAATTCCTAATAGCTGAAAGACAAACATAGCTAGGAGGCAAAACTCTTTTCAGACACAGCTCTGAATTCAGGGTAAGGCTCTTCACTTCCTGTGAAGTTATTCCAGAGCCGTGAGGATGCAGAATGACGAAGCCGGGATGGTACCTGCTTATAGCTCACTGCCTCCCTCCTCTGTGTTTGCCTTTGTATTGGAGGTGGTGTTCGGAGGCCACCAAACACCTAAGAAGTGGCCACAGTCCTAAACTCACTCCCCTGGGACTGGTGGGTGCAGGGGGGCACTGGAGAGACACAGGGGATCTGTCCAGCTGCGCGGGTGCCTCTGCTCTGCACTCGCCCCATGGCTGGGGGGATTCGCTTACCCTGCCCCACGAGGGGAGAGTCAAGGGGCTGCTCCTGCCCTCCCAGGAGCCCTGCTGCTGTTGCCGCTGGAGCAGCTTTTGCTACCATGCAGAAGAAATGGACTGCCTGATTTCCTGGAAACTCTTATTCCTCTCTGCATTTCCGAGATTTGCATTTATCCCAACGTTTGGATTTATAGCCCTGATCCTAAACACTACACTATGAGAAAGAGCATAAACATCACATTACCCAGTATAAACAGCTGTTTTGACTTGACAAGGAAAAGTGATAGTTTCTACTGAAAAGTATGAATACAAACCATGGGAAAAGATCTAGAGGTCAATCATCTCATTCATTCTTCTTTAAATACCTCTGGTGTAAATCTGGGCTAATTTCAGATTATCTTTGTGGAATTGCACCAGGTTTGCAGCAATAGCATTCATATTAGGAGTTGGCACATCTTCTTGTTTAACCCATGTAATGAAATATTTATTTTGAACTAACACCTTATTGGGAATTTGTGCATTTTCCCCTGAATTTCAAACATATGAATGGAAACATAAGAAGATTTTTTTTTTTTTTGGTAATGCTGTGCTTTTTTTTCCTGAAGACTGCATAAATGGTGAGTGGAGTTACATACTTTCAAAATTCCCCTCTAACCATGGGGCCATCGTAGAGCCTCCAGTAGTTTTAAATCCATGGTTCCTCTCAAAGACAGACAGTTTTTTAAATGAACCATATGAAAACGAGAAACTTTCCTCTGTCTAATGGACATTGTAAAATGGTATTTTCTGCCAAATGACCAAACTGTACCCATAGAAATGCAAGATAAAAGAAATCATGGTAGAAATCAATGCTGTCTTGTCTTCTATTATTTTTCATGGTAACAGCTCTCATTCCGAAGTCCCGTTCTGTTCCTTCCCATTTCCAATGTCCATTCCACAGTCTTGCCTAAGAAGGATGGAATCATTAATTTTTTAACACATTGTTCAAATAGGCTTGATGTCTGGCAAAAATTCTATTTCCTTTGTGCTATTTTTCATTTTAAATCTTGTATGTTTTAAAAACAAACAAACAAGAAGTGTAGATGACCCAAAGTATGCTAAAGAGTGTGGCAACATGTATTTGTGTTGGTTTTCCAAATATCTGAACATTAATTATTGCAGAAATATAAATGTTGCAGAAAAGAAAGCCATAGCAACAATTTTGTAGACAAGCTTTTACTATGAATTTTGGAACTAGATCATCTGAACTAGATGATCTTTAAGGTCCCTTCCAACCCAAA